GGTATAATTTTTGTAACCTATTGATTCTCTCAGGTGGGAGTGGGTGCGATTCTCTCAGGTGGGACTGATTTTATTCCTTTGGTGAAGGAGATCCGATTTTCATTGTGAAGTTCTCTGAATTATTGTTGTTGTTTATGGCGGATTTGGGGGATCTGGGGGATGAGGTTACTAAAAAGCTTCAGAAGTTCTCGTTATCTGTTAAAGAATCTGGAGGTGTTGAAATACAGCGCAGAGACATTGCGTCGAGTGAGGAGGAATGCGGGAATAGTTTGTTTGGGAAAGTGATTGGTGTCCGTAAGGCTTCACTTCTGGGGGTTAAGCGAGCTATGAGTTCAATATGGCGTCTTCACCAAAGATTAGAGGTACGTGAACTGGAAACAAATTTTTTTCAATTCATCTTCTCCTCGAAAGATGATAGAAAAAGGGTTATGGCGGGGCATAGTTGGCTATTCGAGAACCAATATCTGGTTTTAAAAGAATGGCGGAGGGGATTAACCAACAGGCACCAAAGTTTCGACCAAGTGAATTTATGGGTTCATGTTCTAAATGTTCCTTTTAACTGGATGAGCAGTGAAGTTGGGCTGAAAATTGGGGAGGTGTTTGAGGGGGTGAAGAATGTCACTATCTGCAGATTAGGAGGGGACGAGGGCAGCTACATTAAGCTATTGGCAACCATTAATACGAAGGAGCCATTGCCTCGTTGTACAGTGGTGAAGCTTCAGGATGAGCAGACAATGGTTCAATTCAAATACGAACGTTTAGTAATCTTGTGCTACTATTGTGGTTGTATTGGCCATCTTGATAAAAATTGTGAAACTCAGCTGATGGATATTGAAAATAGATGTCTGCAAGAAGGGCAATTTGGGGACTGGCTTAAAGCTGCTGATTTCATCTATGGGAACAGACACTCAGCTAATAGTGGCTCAGAACCTAAAGAGAGTTGTCCTGCTCCAAGTCCTCAGATGGACACCAATGCTGCAGCAAGTACCTCGAGGCATCCACCACAATCTGAGAAAGGGGATAATAGAGAAGGTGGCTCTTCTGTTCATAAAGCTCCTAGTGTTAAGGAGGGTGGTCAATCTCTGGAGTTGGTGATGGTGTCTCCTTTGGGTGATGAAGAGGATATTGCTGAAGTGGAGACCAGGAAAGAGGGTGGAGAGAAGAGTGATATTATGGTGATAGCAGAAGATGATTCTCCTTTGATAGATGTTGGAGATGAAGCTGAAGTGCTGCTGGCTGATAGCAGGAGAACATGGAGAAGAGCTGCAACAAAAGCTGGTAGGCTACTGATAAGTCCGGTGATTGAAGGGAAGCCCATCTCTATCAGTGGCTGGAAAAGGGAGAGAGATAAAGAGCAAGATTTTCAAGTGGTTGAATTTCAAAACAAGGAGGAAGAACAGATGGGAAAGAGAATTAAATCAGCGTCAAAGAAGGTGGAGAAGGCCAGCCTGGAGTGGCCCCAACGTGACCAATGAAGGTCATGGTGTGGAACTGTAGAGGGCTGGGTGGGCCCTCTACAGTTTCCCAAATCAAGGATTCAAGAAGAATCCACCACCCACATATTATCTTTTTATCTGAAACAAAAAAAAAAACGAATATTTTACTAAAACTGTATGTAATAAGCCGGGGTTCCAAGATATATGGCACTTGCAGGAGCCTGAGAAGAGCAAAGGTGGTCTTTTATTGATGTGGGATCAGGAGGTTGAAATCAGAAAGCTAGAAGGAAATGAATTTTGTATTCAGGTGGAAGTCAGGGGCCCTGGTATGAGTTAATGGTGTTGGCTGGTTTTTGTGTACATCAGCACTGACAAAAATATGAGATTTATGCAATGGGAGTTTTTGCTGGATAGGAAGGGGGATTGGGGGAGTTGTTGGGCAATTGCAGGGGATTGGAATGAAATTGTGAGCAATGAGGAGAAAAAAGGTGGGCTAGTAAGATCAGAAAACAGTTTCTTACCCTTCAGAGATTTTATTGTGGACATAGAAATGCAAGAACAAGATCAGAAAGGAGCATTCTTCACTTGGGGGAATAACAGGAGAGGGGATGGCTTTGTGGAGGAGCGGTTGGATAGTCTTTACATCTCAGGAGTGGCTACTGAAATTCCCTAAGATGGAGGTGTCTAACTTCTTCAGAAGTGCATCTGACCATAATGTAATAATGTATGACACTGAGATAGAACTGCAATCTTCTAAAAGGAGATTTGTTTTTGATAGAAACTGGTTGAAGATGGAGGGTATTGAAGAAGCTGTGGCCAAAGGATGAGAAATGGATATAGAGGGTTCTGAAATGTTTAAAGTTCATCAAGAAGTGAAACATACTAAAAAGGCAATATTAACCTGGTACAATCCAGTGAAGAGGAACAATGAAATACTGATCCAAACCCTTACAGCCAAAATGGAAAAATTGAGAGAGGAGGGAAGGGAGAAGGATTGGGTTACTTGGTGCTCCACAAAATGTGATTTAGATAAGGCATATATGGAGGAAGAACAATATTGGAGGGCAAAGTCTAGGGCTCTATGGCTTAAAGCTGGCGACAAAAATACTCGATTTTTTCATGCTTTTGCTGCTCAGAGGAGAAAGAAAAATTCCATTTTGAGGCTGGTGTCTGGGACAATTGAGGTGATTACTGAACCGAAGAAGTTGGAGGAACACATTGTAAATTACTACTCTGCTCTTTTCAAATCGGAAGGTTCTAATAGGGGGGATGAGCTACTCAGTCATATTCCTCAGACTGTTTCAGATGCTGCTAACAATGAATTAATCCGGCAGGTTAGTGAGGAAGAAATTCATGAAGCTCTCTTCAGTATGGCTCCTGATAAGTCTCCGGGGGAGGATGGGATAACTGCTTTGTTTTTTCAGCATTTCTGGCATTTGGTGAAAAAGGATGTGTGCAAAGCTGTGTCTGATTTCTTTAAAAAAGGTACAATGCTGAAAAACTGGAATCACTCAGTTATATCTCTGATCCCTAAATGTTTTTACCCTGAACAACTGAGCAGTTATAGACCAATAAGTCTCTGTGGGGTCATGTATAAGATTGTGGCTAAGGTGTTAGCAGAAATATTAAAAGAGTACTTAGATGGGTGTATCAGTGAAGCTCAGACTGCTTTTGTTCCGGGGAGGCAACTCCTAGACAATGTGGTGATCGCCCATGAGATATTTCACTTTCTGCACATACACACAACAGGGAAAAATGTTTTTATGGCCCTAAAAATTGACATGGAAAAGGCATACGACCGTGTGGAGTGGAATTGCATCAGGATGACTATGCAGAAGATGGGATTCCACTCAAAATTTATAAGATGGGTAATGGCATGTGTCTCTACTTCAACTTTCTCATTTAACCTGAATGGCAATGTTTTTGGTTATGTCTCCCCTTCGAGAAGAATTAGGCAAGGTGATCCACTATCACCTTACCTTTTTATTCTGGTTTCTGAATTGCTTTTAGTGGAGATTGCTCATCAGGTGAGTCATGGTTTGTTTAGGGGGATCAAACTGTCAAGGGATGGACCAATGATTACACACCTTCTAATTGCAGACGATGCTCTTCTTTTTTGTAAGGCAGATGAACATCATGCCAACATTCTGATGAGAGTATTGCAGAAATATCAAGAGTTTGCCGGTCAAAAAGTAAATCTCCATAAATCTTCCATGTTCTTGAGCAAAAATTGTTCAGTTGACTTGAAAGAGAAGATTTGTTCTAATTTACCAGGGGTAATTGTGAAGAGGTCTTCAAGGTATTTAGGGCTTCCCCTAGGGATTGGAGCATCAAAGATTGAAGCTTTTCAGTTTGTGGTGGAGGATGTCAGGAGTAGGATTAGCAGATGGAAGAATCAGTTTTTGTCTACTGCTAGGAAAGATATATTGATCAAGGCAGTATTGAATGCACTGCCAATTTTTGTTATGTCCTGCTTTGTGTTGCCATCTAGGATTTGCAAGGAAATAAGTAGATTGCTGGCTGAGTTCTGGTGGAAAAAAAGTGAGGGAAACAGCAAAGGGGTCCATTGGCTGGCGTGGGAGAAGATGACATGGTCTAAACAAAATGGGGGCCTTGGTTTCCAGAATATCAAGTCCTGCAATAAAGCTCTTATTATTATACAAATATGGAGGATTTATGAGAAACGAGAGATGCTGATTAGCAAAGTGCTGAAGTCCAAGTATTTCCCTTCTTGCTCTATCTTTGATTACTCCAAAAAATCTGGAGTCTCATGGCTCTGGAGTTCTTGGTCTGCTTTAATTCCTTGGCTGAAAATCATATGAGTATTGTGATTAAGAATGGAGCTGATACAAGGCTTGATGAGTTTGGTTGGGTCCATTTGATGAGAGGGGAGAAACCTGAAACAAGGGTGCATCTAGATCACAGTCAATTCAGGATGAAAGATCTTCTGATTAATAATGGAAAAGGCTGGGATGAAGTGCTGGTGAAAGCATTATTTCAACCTGCAGTGGCAAAGAAAATCATGGCCATTAACTCCGTTAATCCCAGAGTTGCAGATCTGAGGAAATGTACCTTTGCTGAGAAAGGTAGGTTTTCTGTTAAGAAGGCTTATGAGGAGTTCTGCAGGATAGAATGGAACATGAATCATTGTGCTGAATCAAGTAATCTAGGCCAGAACAATAAGAGAGCAAGATTGAGGTGCTGGAATCTCAAAATAACAGGTAAGCTCAAGATTTTTATATGGAGATGCTTTACTAATATACTGCCTGTGAACTACAATCTGAAGAGAAGAGAAATGGTGATTGATTCAATATGCAAGTGTTGCGGGAAAAATGAGGAAACAGTGGTTCATGCTCAGTTCTTATGTCCTAAAGCTAGATTAACTTGGAGGTTGGCTCCAATTCAATGGCAGAAACCAACAGAGGAGGTAGACTTTAGTTTTAAAGAATGGTGGTGGTGGCTGAGTTCAATGGACTTCAAGGAGACTTCAGAAGACATAATTCAGTTAAGCACCTATATATTGTGGTGGCTGTGGAAGGGGAGGAACCTGTGGGTATTTGAAAACAAAGAGATGGCTGCAAAGACAATCATTGACAATGCAGTACAAGAATGGCGGGAGTTTCAAGAAATTTAGCTGATTCAAATGGGGATATGCTAGGTTTAGAGTCAGTGGTGTATTCATATTTGGTTATTAGCTAGATCTGGTTGTCATGTGTATTGTTTTTGTTCTCGGTTGTCAGCAGATTTGGGCATAGTAGTGTATCTGTCTTGTGCTTCGATTAGGCTACATTGTTGTGTGTATAGTCTCTCATTATTAAGGCTTTGTATTGAACTTTGTTCTATGTTGGCCGATTGGCCTATTAATATGAGTGATGATATCTTGGAAAAAAAAAAAGATAGTGTAAAACTTTATTTAGACGATCGAATATGACATGGATTAAGTAAACTAAAAAAAAAAAATAATCAAAGCGAATAAAGAACTAGCTAGAAAAACACGTAAGAAAATATATGGGAACGATAGATTCTAAGACATTGGGTTCAATTAATAGTTGGGTTCCTTCAAAAATATTACAACTAAATGTTTTCTTTATCTACCCTATAAGATGATCACAAAATTAGCCTATCGTCCTTCTCAAGATCGATAAAACCGTAGATTAAATCACATATGTTAGCGTCTCCACTCAACACATGCAATTCAACTACAAATAGATTAAAAGACCCAAAATCCTCACAACTATCTACTAATCTCTCGATTCAAGCAAATAAATTGTGTCAAATATTAAAGATCTAATATTGAACTCATCTCTCGAATTATGAACAATATCATCAAACATGTAAAAGCAGTAGCCAATTGCAATTCATGAAATAAGAACAAAATATTTGAATAGGGTTCAAAAGAAAACAATCAACTATGATAAATTATCCAAAATCCCAAACTATTAATCTACTACCATGTCTTAGAATCAAAGAAATTTAGCTACTCATGTTTGAATTCAATTACATAGACATATTAGAAATCATCATGAGAAAAAAGTAAGTTCAAAAGAGAGAAAGAAAAACTAGAAATCTTGCGGTTGATCTTCTCTTCTTCCCCAATTGTCTCTCCTCTGTGTTCCAAGCCCTTCTCCTTGTGTTCTCTACGTCTTCCTCCTTCAGAATAGGGTCAATATGCCTTTTATAATGTTCAAAACTCTTCTCCTTATCCAAAAAGGCAAGGGATTAAAAACTGCCATCGTGTGCGACACGACCAGACACGCCCGTGTCGTGTGTCGTGTCACAGGTCGTGTCAGGTCTATAGATTCCGAATCATCCCAGTTACGTGACATGGTCTCTGACACGGGCAGGATGCCCGTGTCACTGCCCGTGTCACACTCCAGCATGCACATTTTTGTCCGTTTTGCTCGTTTGTTTCATTTTTCTCATCCGTGAATCAATCCTTCATCATCTCGGGGGTCCTAGGTACTCCACGTGCGCCTACAATAGCCACAAGCTCTACAAATATGTGAAAATATTTACAAAACAAGCACGAGTAATACCTTTCCAACAAATAGAGAATTAAGCACAATATTGCAATTTATACACCAATAATGCGACAAATAAGCTCTACATACTATATGAATATGGTGTAAAATCAAACATGAACAGTCGGACCATTTTTTATCCTGGTGACAACTCCCGATCACAGAGAAACTTTGAAGAATATCCACCACTGGATCGATCCACCCTCCAAGCCATGAAGAGAACTAAAACCCTCAAGCGGGTTGGAGAACCTTTGGAAAACTTGAATCAGACGGCCTCCCCGAGTCGTCAACCACCGCCCGTTGGAACCCCGAATCA